CAGATAAGTAAATGGTTTTATGTTTCACAAAGTGGAATACTGTCTTTATATAGAAATGAGAATAAACCAACTGTAACTACATGCATCAATTATAGATGTATTTCAAATATATAAAAGCTGGACATAAGAAGCCAGGTACAAGAGTATTGTTACTATTCCATTTTTATAAGGTTCAGAAACAGGAAAATCTATAGCTTTAGAAATACAGGTGATGATGTGATTGTTCTTGAGAGATAGTGGCCATAAGATACATGGAGGCCTTTGGGATGCTGCTAATTTTTGTGTTTCTTAAATTTGGGTGCTTAGTACATGGATTCACTCAATTTATAAAAGTTGTTCAATTGTACATTTATGGTTTGGGAAATTTTCTATGTGAATTTTCTACTTTAAATTTAATGGTGATATTTGAGGAATTTATGGCCTTTATTCAATAAGAAGACATGAAAAGGTATGTTTTAGGCTGAAGAACTGCACAATCTTATCAAAGTCAGATTCAATCAAGTGGTAGCAAGACAGAAGTATTGAAAATGAAAGAGAAAATTAAGATCTGAGCTTGTATAATAGTAATAGAAATACAAAGAAAGAGGTGAATGTGATAAAAGTACTGGTGATAAAATGGACAAACATTGTGCCTAACAGAATGCGATAAATAAAAGGAGAGAACTTTAAATAAAAAAAGAAAGTAAGATTACAAGCCTGGGAGGCAGGTAGTACTGCTGACAAACTTGAAAATAAAGATAAAGGATTTGGTAAGTGTTGACAAACTAGTCAGCATGTCAAATCTGGCCCATTGACTGTTTTTGTTTGGCTCATGAGATAGACTGTTTTTGTTTGTTTTACATCTTTAAATGGTTAAAGAAAATCAGGATAGCAGTAATCAGAATAATATTTTTGACATGTGAAAATTTTATGCAACTCAAATTGAAATGTCCATATAAAGTTGTATTGGAACATGGTCATGCTCATTTGTTTGAATAGGGTCTACTACTGCTTTTGCATTACAGTATCAGCAGCGTTAAATAAAGTAATAGACTTATTGCAAAATATGTACTAGTAAAGATGTACTATCTTGGGTTTTTGAAAAATTTTGGTAACCTCTGTTTTATAGCTAAAATTATAAATGATATATGTATTACTTGAAAATGCCTTGTAGGCTAATGGGAGCTTTTGTTGAAGAGAGGAGAATAACCTTAGAATTCTGAGGATCACTAACTGTGTCGAGTGAAGAACTGAATCTCTTTGTATGAGTAACCATTAGCATTTAATAGCACTTAAGAACTTTAAAAGCTGTACTCATATTCATTTGACCTCTAAAACAATCTGTTCAGTCAATATCACTTTTTCTAGTTTACAAATAAGAAAACTTTGATTTTAAAATATATGAGACATATTATGGAGAATAAGCATTTCAGAAATAGAAGGTGATAGAGAAATACAATTGAGGAGAAGGTAGATATTTTGGTATTTGGTGGGTGGTATTCCTCTCATTTGCAGGCGCAGTGATAGAATGAAAACTCTAGAGCTAGAGCTTCTGGGTTTTCATCCTGGTTCTACCATTTACTAACACTACAATGTTGAACAAACCACATAAACTTTTAGAGACTCAGTTTCATAATCCATAATATTAGAGTAAGAATGTTCTTACCTCATAGGGCTGCTATGATGATTAAATTTTAAATATGTTAACTTGGCTAGAAGAGTATTTAGCATATATAAATGTTATTTTCACTGTCTTTTGGAATACATGTTTTAATCAGTTAACATACAATGTAATATCATTTGGATGGTAGGGATTCAAAAAGCCTTTAATAACTCTTTATATCAGAGTTGTATTCTATATATTTGAGCAGGAGTAAAACCACTTAGCCAGCCAGCAATAATGTCAGAGATTCCACTTACTTGATTTATCTTGAACTTTGTACCTCAGTTCTTTGTTTATCCTGCAAAAATATAATCCAATAAGGAACTTTCACCCAGAATTCCTAAATATCAAATATTCTCTCAAGTTCTACTTTGATATTTTCATAATAATTGAAATTGATTGATGGCATATAATAAGTCATTTACAGAAGCACCAAAATCTTCAATAAAGGTGTCATTCAGTAATTTAATGCTTTTTTGTTCTTGTTTTTCCTCATGTAATAAAAAAGGTCAGAATTCTTCAGAATTTTTAATTTTATAAACTATTGTCTGACTTTTGGCCTTTATCTTGTCAGGAGTAAATATCTGCCAATTGTAATTCACCATGTGAGTTGAGATGTTATTAAGGAAATTGAGTGCAATCCATGAAATTCTTGTCCAGGACAGGGTCAGTCTCAATGCTATCGAATAATTGACTCTGTTTCCTGTATGACAGGTGGATAGCAGTTGCAATTATTGTCTTTTTGTGTCTGGGGAAATGTAGACAGGAGAGTTAAGTGACTTCCTCAAGATCATATTGGAAATTAGTGACATTCCAAGCAACAGAACTTGGAATACACTTAATCAGATCACCTCTAGAATAGTTTGAACTTTATCATGAAGACAGTGAAAATGTTTCCACCATATGCCAGAATACACTTCAACATTACTTCTTACATCCTAGAGTCATGCATTTATTATCTCTGAGATAAAGACTATAAAAAGAGGTCCCAAATAAATTGATCAATGCCTTTATTATTTGAAACTTTAATTACCTTTTTATGAAAATGGGGAGAATGATAATGACTGGTAGTGAAGAAAGAAAAATTCATTTCTATTTTTCAGTTAGTTTAGTGGGTTAGTACCTTACAGGTTTATTAATGGCTTGTATACCATTGATTTAAAAGGTAGCTGTGTTTATTTACATACTTTGCCACATGCCAGCAGCAGTAAAAGTTGCTCGTCTTCTAAGGTATCACATAGGCCATATTTCCTGAGAAAAGAAACTACAATCTATTTTCACCTCCTAAGGAAGAGTCATCTATACACTCACCAATCAAAAGTTTAGTCCCAAAGCCTAATTTAGTTCTCGAAATAAATAAGGAAAACAAAGCAAATTTAAGTGCTAGATATGTGATTATATTTTCATTGAATAAGAAATAACTATTGAACTTCCCTGGCCACCCACTGGTGACATCTCTGAGCTTCCACAGCAGTAGTGGGTTCAATCCCTGGTCAGAAAACTAAGATCCCACATGATATGCGGTATGGTTAAAAAATAAAAGAAATAAAGAAGGAACTATCATTTACTGTACACTCAACATGTATCAAGCCTTGTGCTAACTGAAGTATGGATGATTAATCCTGAAAATTTTAAAATACCAAGTTATTTTAGACCCTAAATTAGGCCTCTGATTGGTAATAAATGACAGATAATTGACATTGGTTCTGTGAGTTTTATTTTTTGTTATATTTTCTGTTGATCATTGTCATAATTTTCCATTAATGTATTTTAGTTTCATTGTTCTTGTACACTATTGCCTCAATAAAATGTATTTTCAGTATTCTGAATCTAGTAATCATACTTTTGCAAAGCTTTCTAGATTATATCTTCCAATTTTGCCATCAATAGATAAAGTAGAAATGAACGTCTGGAAATGCACAGGAATTGTAGCTATCATATATTTCCTGTGAATAATCAATAAAATTCCACTTATATAGCATTTATCATTTATAAATGTTCTGTTTCAAACCTATGTGCTTGTTCTACTTTTTGATTATGTATGAATTTCTTTTTTGACAAGATGATTGAATAGACAATCTCATGAAATTTTATGATCTTGATTAATATTATCAAATCACTTTCATTTCAGAGTTCTTCTTTATTTGAAAAAAAGTCACAGGTTTCAGGTGCTATAATTGTTTATATGGTAGTATAGTTGTATGGTGGGCTTTCCTGGTGGTTTAGAGGGTAGAGATTTTGCCTGCAGTGAAGGAGACCTGGGTTTGATCGCCAGATTGGGGAGATACCCTGGAGGAGAGCATGGCAACCCACTCCAGTATTCTTGCCTGGAGAATCCCAATGGACAGAGGAGCCTGGCAGACTACGGTGCATAGAGTCACAAAGAGTCAGACACAACTAGGTGACTAAGGACACATCACAACAGTGTGTTTGGTTTACTATGATCCCACATCTCAAATTTCAAATGCAGAGGCAAGTCTGCATACTGTTCAAAATATGGCATATACAAAGAATAGTATACACCAGTGCATTAAGTTCACTGTGAATAAGAATTTACACCTCAAATCTCAGGATGCTAATTAGGGAGGGCTGTCTTAGCAAACCTTGCCTATAACATTTTTATTCTTCCCTCAGATGGTTTGTGTACACATACACACCTGAATATGTTTATATGTACCATATACACATTAGTACTTAGAATTTTATAAATGTGCTTCTCTATATACATAAGATTTTTAAATGTACACTGTGCTGTTTACCAATGTGTATTGTGTTTATAATTAAATCCATCTATTAATGTAAATATATACATAGATATACATTGTCTCATTTCAAGATTTTTTTTTATTTCTACATTTTGAGGCATACTATTAGTATAATTTAAAGAGGTATGTATATACTTGTCTAACATATGAGGCATTAAATTATGTTTGAATTAATTTGTAATACATTCAAAATTTGGGAAGTCCTACATTTATATTAAGGAATAGATTTAAATATGTCATATATTAAATTATACTTTGATATTCATAAATTTAATGTAGTTCTAATACTGTAATTTTGCATTCTAGCATTGTTGCAAGCAATTATGATTCAATAGATTTTTATACAAATAGTTAAACCTGGATAGTTTTGTTATATGACTTTATGGCTGACTCATGCTGATGTATGGCAAAAGCCGACACAGTGTTGTAAAGCAATTATCCTTCTATTAAAAATAAATTTAAAACAATAAAGCATTCATTATGTCTCTCTTCTTAAAGGAGCGAGTTCTATAAACATCTGATAGTAATCACTTCTTTGTAAAATGTATTTGACATAATGGAGTGATTATAAACCTAATTATCACCTGTTTTAGGCTAAGATGACTCAATTGCCTGAGGCAGAAAAGGAAAAGATTGCTGAGCAAGTTGCTGACTTCAAGAAAGTGAAGAGCAAGCTGGATGCTGAAATTGAGATATGGGATGATACGAGCAATGATATCATTGTTCTGGCCAAGAAAATGTGTATGATCATGATGGAGATGACAGACTTCACAAGGTAATTATGTGGGAATTGGTGTGTAATATTTATCATATTAGAAACATTTGTCAAATTAGTGAAACTTCGAGTTTTTCCTAGTGTCAGATGCTAAAAATTAAGTGGTATGGGAAAAGTAAATGATGAAGAATTAGAAAGTTGTAAGTAATTTCTAGAGGTTTTGATAAATAAATGAGGCAGAGTTTCTCATAAACACCTGAAGAACAATTTTAGAACACTTTATGTCTTCACTCTCAAAGACCTTCTTTGTGTATTATACTAGCTTTTAAAAAAAATGGTAAATCAAGTTATGATTTCTATTGGAGCTCTCTGAATGATTAATTTTCATAGCTACATATGAAGATATCACCCAGATATATTTGAAATTACAAAGACTTAATGATGTACATGAAGGAATTGTTCATTGTGTATATATTCTAGAAATAATGAACATGTTTCTTATTGTTACTGTTGTTCAGTCGCTAAGTCACATCTGACTTTTTGCCACCTCATGGACTGCAGCATGTCAGGCTTACCTGTCCCTTACCACCTCACAAAGTTTGCTCAAACTCATATCTATTGAATCAGTGAGGCAATCTAACCATCTCATCTTCTGTTGCCCCCTTCTCCTCCTGTCTTCAATCTTTCCCAGCATCAGGGTATTTTCCAGTGAGTCAGCTCTTTACATCAGGTGGCCAAAGTTTTGGAGTTTCAGCTTCAAAAGCTACTGGAAAAACCATAGCTTTCATTGTATGGACATTTGTTGGCAACATGATGACTATTCTTTTTAATATTCTGTCTAGATTTATCATAGCTTTTCTTCCAAGGAGCAAACATCTTTTTATTTCATGGCTGCAGTAACCATATGCAGTGATTTTAGAGCCAAAGAAAATAAAATCTATCAATGCTTCTACTTTTTCCCCATCTCTTGGCCATGAAGTGATGGGACTGGATGCCATGACCTTAGTTTTTTGAATGTTGAGTTAAAGCCAGCTTTTTCACTCCCTTCTTTCACCCTCATCAAGAGGGTCTTTAGTCCCTCTTTACTTTCTATCATTGGAGTGTGTCATATGTTTATCTGAGGTTGTTGCTATTTCTCCCAGCAATCTTGATTCCAGCTTGTGATTCATCTAGCCTGGCTTTTTGCATAATATACTCTGCATATAAGTTAAATAAACAGGGTGACTGTAGCTTCAAAATATTATTTTATAGAACTAGCCAAAGAATTGTAATGTATAGAGTGCTTGCCTTACCAGTTACTAAATGAACAAAACTAGAACAATTAAAATAATTTAGTCTTGATGTAATTATAAAAGCCACAGAACAAAATATTCTGAAGCAGACCTAGTATACTTATAAAACTATTCATTTATATTGCATACATTAAACATAAAAATAACTTTTAGATGGAGTAATGACATAAATGTAATTTAAAAATAATAATAAATGGAAAATATTCATGAATATTCACTCAAGTTAAGTCTGAGAAAAGTTTTCTAAGCATTATGCACAAACACCTCATAAAAATGGGTTATGAAATTGCATAACATTAAAGGTTCTAAGTATCTATAGAATGTCCTAAACCATACTGAAATATAAATGAAGAATTGATTAAACATCTGTAACAGAAAATAACAGAATTTTGATGTCATTTATATATGATGAATTATCACAAATATTAAAAATTTTAAGTTTCCTAGTAGAAGAATGGACAAATATATATACATTAATACACATATAGGTATATATGGACATAAACAGGAAATAACCTAGAGAAATGAAAGAAAATCACAGTATATGTCAACCTTTCCCCTTCCAAACACCACCACCTTAATGCTACCCACTAAGGAAAGTAAGTGTGATTAGTCACTCAGTTGTGTCCGACTCTTTGCAACCTCATGGACTATAGCCTGCCAGGCACCTCTGTCCATGGCTATTCTCTAAACAAGAGTACTGGAGTGGGTTTCCATGCCCTACTCTAGGGGATCTTCACAACCCTGGGATCGAACCCAAGTCTACTGCATTGCAGGTGGATTCTTTACCTTCTGAGCCACCAGGGAATGCCTAGGATAGTATATACTTCACAGTAATGATTTAAAGATAGTGCTGTTGTCTAGGAGCCCTGCCTAAAATGGAGAAGATTCAGATCAATGACATACAAAGCTACATAATGAGACATAGAAAATGAGCATACTTCTGGGTACGTATGCAAAAGGAAATGAAATAATTACTTTTAGAAGATACTATTGTTCCCATGTTCACTGTAGCATTCATTATTCACAGTAGTCAAGATATGGAAACAATCTTAGTGTCCATCAATGAATGAATAGATAGAGAAAACATGGTATATAAAAATAAATTTGTATATATTGTACATTTAAATAAATGATATGTATGGATTCTTTTAGTTATAATAAAGGAAACCCTATTCCTGCCATTTGGGACACATGGATGACTCTGGGGGGCATTATGTTAAGTAAAATAAGTCACACAGTGAAAGATAAATACTATTATAATTTATAAATTTATATGTAGAATCTTAAAAAAAAATTAGAGAGTGGAATGGTGGGGTTTGAGGAGTAGGGGAAATGGAGAGATGTTGGTCGATGATTACAAACTTTCATTTATAAGATGAATGATCTCTGAAGATCTAATATATAGCATGTTGACCATAAATATCGATACTGAAATTTGCTGAGAGTAAATCTTAAGAGTTCTCATGCAAAAAAAAAAAAAAAAATGGNAATGAATAGATAGAGAAAACATGGTATATAAAAATAAATTTGTATATATTGTACATTTAAATAAATGATATGTATGGATTCTTTTAGTTATAATAAAGGAAACCCTATTCCTGCCATTTGGGACACATGGATGACTCTGGGGGGCATTATGTTAAGTAAAATAAGTCACACAGTGAAAGATAAATACTATTATAATTTATAAATTTATATGTAGAATCTTAAAAAAAAATTAGAGAGTGGAATGGTGGGGTTTGAGGAGTAGGGGAAATGGAGAGATGTTGGTCGATGATTACAAACTTTCATTTATAAGATGAATGATCTCTGAAGATCTAATATATAGCATGTTCTTCCATGTTTTCCTATTTTATGATTTTATTGTTTATATTTATAGACCTTAATAGCATTTCTTATCTATAAAATGTATATTGTTATATGTATATTAGTTTTATCTCAACTTCTCACTCTGTATGATGAAGAAATATCCACTCTTATCCTCTCTTCTGCCTCTTATTGCTTCTGTCCTACATTTCATTTATAACCCAACTTCTTTCTACTATACTTCTTATATTAAGATAATTCATATAATATTCACATTTTTCTAAACAACTAAGTCACTCATGCTTATTCTAATATTTTATTCTGAAAGTGAAGATTAATAAATGTTTGTTATTATGTACTTATATAATTATCCTAGATAGGAAATACATATGAAAGAAACATATTTCTAGAAAAAATTAGAGTTTAGGCATAAACAATTCACACATTTATTTTTTTCTTTTTATTGAAATATATTTGCTTTACAATGTTGTGTTAGTATTTACAGTACAACAAAGTGAATCAGTCATACATATACATATATTCCCCTCTTTTTTAGATCTCCTTACCATTTAGTTCATCACAGAGTGCTGGCTAGAGCTCTCTGTGCTATATAGTAGGTTCTCACTAGTTATATTTTATACATAGTAGTGTGTATATGTCAACCCCAGTCTCCTATTTCATTCCTACCCCCATCTTCCCTTTGTAACCATAAGTTTCCTCTCTACATCTGTGATTCTATTTCTGCTTTGCAAATAGTTCATTTCTACCATTTTTCTAGATTCCACATGTAAGTGATATTATATGGTATTTGTTTTTCTCTTTCAGATATGGTATTTGTTTTTCTCTTTCAGGCTTAATTCACTCAGTAAGATGACCTCTGGGTCCACCCACATCTTTGCAAATGGCAGTATTTCATTCCTTTACATGACTGAGTAATAGTCCATTGTATTATGTACCACATCTTTATCCATTCCTCTGTCGATGGACATTTAGGTGGCTTCCATGTCCTGGTTATTGTAAATAGTGCTGCAATGAACATCAGGGTGCATGCATCCTTTTGAATTATGGTTTTCTGTGATATATGCCTCGGAGTTGGGTTGCTGGGACATTTGGTAGTTCTAGTTCTAGTTTTTTAAGGAACCTACATACTATTCTCCATAGTGGTTGTACCAATTTACATTCCCACCAACAGTATAGAAAGGTTCTTTTCTTTCCACACCCTCTCTGGCATTTATTGTTTGTAGATTTTTGGATAAAGGCCATTCTGAGAAGTGTGAAGTGATACCTCATCATAGTTTTGATTTACATTTGTCTAATTACTGATGTTGAGTATCTGTTTATGTGTCACTTGGCCATCTGTATGTCTTCTTTGGAGAGATTTCTATTTAACTTTTCTGCTCAGTCTTTGATTCGTTTCTTCTTTCCTTTTTTTATTGAGCTGCATGTAAGAGTGTTCATACATTTTATATGGGAAACAACACATCATGGAAAGAAACCTGAACTAGGAACTATTTTATATCATCTTGATAAGTGTGTCAATGAGAGTTCTCTAGTATAAAGAATATGTATACAGGCAGAATCTAAAATTAGAATAAAAACAATCAAGGGCAAAGTCCAGAGATTAAAAAAAGCTTTTAAGAAGTTAGAAGAAGAAATAGACTCCCATAAAGATAAAGCACACAAGGAAGGCATAATAATAAATTTTGTAATATGCAAAGAAGGATTCTTGAGTCATAGTTAAGCTTCAGTGAATGCTCAATTAATTATTTTGCATGAAGGAGTCTTAATTAAAGATTGAAAAGATAGTATAATTTTGGCAATTCTAAATTTATGGTTATTTTTGTTTAAGTGGTTTCAATAAGTGGTGACAGAGAAAAAAGCCTTCTTAATTCATGGCATGGTAGATGGGAGAAGAGTAGATAATAAAGCAAAGATAATCAAAGTAGTAAATTAAAGAAG